AAAAAAAATACACAATAAACTCTAGTATTTTATTTTTTTTAGAATAGAAGAATATTGATTTACTCTTTTTTTTATATATGTACATTTTTTAAGAAAATAACGAAATTTCAAGTATTGAACGATTTAATTCTCATCTTACATTAAATTGGGATAGTCTTGAAAATAAAAGAAAATGTTCACACAAGTAATAGATTAAAAATAAATCTCATAATTTTTTTATGTAAGCTTAAATAAAGATGTTTCTAACATCTTACATATATTAATATAAGTTGCTATAATCCACTTTGCTTTTTAAAATGTTTTTTTTCCCCTAGAAAAACTAAGAATCTCCCTGCAGTCCACCACTTAATTAATCTGGGAGGCCAGAAATTAGCCAATATTCGAGTCATTAATTTTGGCACCTATTTTTTCCAACAAGGTTGGCACAGCTATACTCTTGGTGCACCACGTATGTAGTTGTGACATCCCATACACAAGCTGGTCAAATTAACATTTTAAATTTACTAAATTGTGTTTTGAGCTCTTTTTTTATATTGTATGAATATTTATTAATGAAGCATAACATAAAAAAACAATAAATTTTGAAGAAAGAAAAATTATTTAATAGTTAGAAAATTATTTTAATGACAATAAAAATGCAAAGTTTTAATGATAGAAGTATTTTTATTGCTAACTTATAAATATCTTATTATTTTAACATTGATTAGAATTATTACTAAATTAAAAGAGGAGAGTTTTTTTTAATGTGGATCTTACATAATATATATATATATCTCATTTCTATCATACTCGAAGCAAGTAAAATGAAAATTTATACTCAATGTACCTCTAATCTCTCTGGTTTTTTTTTTCACCCAATATTTCTGTTGAAATAAAAAAACATAACGTGTGAATTCTATCGCTCAAAAAGTCAAATCTTCTGTAATTGAGAAAACTCATATAATGACACAGTTGTCGCCTTCACAAGCTCTGCTGCACTACACGCAGGTGCAGCTTAACGCGTTTACCCACCTCAGCTCTTGAATGCTACTTCCCACTCCCAAAAGAGAAAAAACCAGAAACCCTCTTATGGTTTCCCTCTAACTTCTCAAGTTTCCATATTTTCCTTCTTCTTCCATTGTTTCAACACAAACCCTATTCCTTTTCTTCCATTCACCCAGTTCCTTTGGTCATTTTGGTAGCAACTGGCATGCCCTTCAAACTCTAATGCATGCACTCATCTATTTTTTTAAAAATATTTTATTAATTTTAATATTTATAACTAAATTTAAGTATCTAAAATAGTTTTTTTGGTTGAAATTTTTGTATATTAAAATATAAATTATAATGAATCCCCTTTTTGATAAAATATATTGCTATTATTGTTAGCTTAAATTAAACTCTAAAAGTTTATATTAACATTTTTCTTACAAGAATATATACACTTTTAAAAAAACTGCATAAATATGTTGTATTTTAACTGTGTTGTTTAAAATATGTGGGTGGTAGCAAATTATTTATACACTTCTTTTCTTGTTTACACTATTCGAAAATTGCAATTTTAATCTACTGAGAGAAAAATAAAAAACGATGCCGAGTATAAATTCTCATGCTAGTAGTGCATAATATCTAAGATATATTGGAAAATCCATGCCAGAATATCTAATAATAGAAAACTGTGTACCTGAAAGCGTTCAAATTGTGAATCAACCGAAAAAGTGCAGACCAAGAGTAGTTCCAGAAAATAGGGACTGTTCAACATGCTTCACTCATTTATGAGATTTGAGTCTCTGCAGTTCCTTCCTATCATTATAATGTACTTCATATTCCAAACATGGAATCTTGCCTTACCTGCACTCATCACGCTTCCCAGTATCTTGATTCATTGTATAAGTAAAAGTAGGTAAATTTCACAATTATTGTGAAGAGTTAACAGTGCCAGAGTTGTTACTTATACTGTTGTACGTTTCACTCTTCATATCAATTATTATCATTTTTAATCCTTATATATATCTTTATGTCTGCTATGTATTATCGAACATAAAACTATATTTTAGATATATTTTAATTTAATGTTGTTTCAGTATAGGAAAGTTATTTAAACTTAAATTTAATAAATACTTGATATTTGTGTAGATAAAGATTGAATGAATTAATTTTATTATCAAATATAGAAGAAAAACTAAACAAAACCGATACAATAAATTAATAAATAACTGTGTATTTAAAAAATAATAATAAATTTCAAATAATAAGGAATTCCCGTTTCAAAATTAGTTTTAAAGTTGGATATCGGTTTTATCAGAAGTAATTGCGGGTCATATCGATTTTAATTTAAAATAAAAATCCAAATCAATCGAAATATAAGAAGTATTATTAAAATTGATTATATCCTGTTACTAAAATTACAACTCGTTAATTTAATATAGTTTAGATCATGTTAGCTAGACATATTTAACGTGCAGCTCATTGCCAATTAAGGTGCATGCATGTCTCCTTCCTAAATCAAAGTCGCGAACTGGATTTTCTATTATCTTTATCTAAACAAGTTATAATGATCATTAGTTGCACTACTCTTTGTTAACAATAATTTCCATTTAAAAACGAAACTGCACTGTTTGAGGCAACACGTTTTAGAAAAATTAGAGAATGTGCGAACCATTCATAGACTCATTAATTAAACCAGGATGATTAAGATAATCAATCCTATGTTCCTATGTTATAAAAATTTAAATCTTTATTCTTGAACGTGACAACATCACTTAGTTTTGAAATTGGATTCAATCTTAGAATATAATAAATATTTTAATTTTTTAATAAAACCCTATTATTTTTGTTACTGATGTTAATTAATGTTACCACTGTGATCATTGTTACTCACTTGCCTCCATCACTGGCCACTATCGTATTCATAATTATTCTTAAATAAAAGTGTTGATAAAATTATCTAAGTTAGAATTTTATATATATATATATATATATATATATAATATTTCCACAAATTAAATATGATAATTATAATTACAAAAAAATTTCAATTAAAAAATGGAATAGGAATTACAATTCCAATTATATGCGCTAAACAGATCACCCTTGTCGTATTTTCATTATCTTTTTTATCACAACTAAACAATTATTTAGCATATAAAATTTTTAAAATTTATTTTTTCCGTATAAGTCTACATTGCTTCTATTTTTATTTAAAATAATTATACATAACAATTAATTATATTTAAATTAATTATACATATAAAAATAATAATAATAATAATTTTTAAAAGCTTGTAATTAATTATGAAATATTATTATTTAATTATTAATTATTTGGTATTTAAAAATTATAATTTATTAGATACCTAATTATTATTTGATTAAACATTAGTGTTGTATTTAGAAAAAAATTAGTTGAAAATATTATTATTATTATTAACATTGTTGTTCTCATTTAAAACTTGTAATTATAATAGAAATTTATTACTTAATTATTAACTATCAGTTTTTTTATCTAGAAATTAAAAATATACTATATAGTTGATTATTATTTAATTAAAAATTAATATTTTATATTTAAAAAATAATTAGTTATAAGAATTATAATAATGATAATTATTGTTATTTAAAGCTTGTAATTAATTATAATTTTTATTATTTAATTTTAATTATTACATTGTTAATTATTACTTTATTCGTATTTAGATATTGGGAATTCATTAGATAGTTGATTATCATTTAATTAGAAAATAATAATTTTTATTAAAAAATAATCAGTACTATTTATGCAATTATTCTTAAATTCACTTTATTATTAATATTTTCTTAAGATTATTAAGCAAATAACAATTTTACACAAGTCTAATACAAATAAAATTTATATAAAATTAAAATAAATTATTTTAACATTATACATACATATATATATATATATTAAAAAAATTAGAAAAAACCATTTTTTATAAATTCAAATGATTTAAAAATATAAATAAAATAATTTATAAATTTATTGCAACAATTGTTTAATTTAATTTAATTTATTAACTTACAAAACTAACTAATATTATACATATTTATTAAATATTTTAACATAATTATAAATTTAATTCAAATTAATATTTAAATAACAACTCCACACAAAAGTTTGATAGAAATAAATTTAAAGTAAAATTAAAAGTAATAAGTTTAAAAAAATTCATATATTAAAAGTATTAAATATTTGGAGATAATTATGAATTTTATTAACTCAAATTGCTGCAAATATTTTACAGAAATGCGTTTGATCGGGTGTATTTATATGGAAAAGATTTTCTAATAAAAGATTATACCAAAATCAAATTATTTAAAAATGAATGTCATGTGTTAGACGTCTATGGTGTCTATCGTTGCCACTACGAGATCTGAAGACATGCCATGATTCCATAAATTTAGCTTCTATGGTATCTAAGATTGCTATAAATAATACATAAAATACTGCAGACAGAGGAATTATTTAAAAAAAAAAAGAATATTATAATGAATAGTTTAAAGAAAAAGAACCCAAAATGTGGGTGTTAACGTATGATTATCCATATTTGAAAGTGAATGAACATGTGTCCATGATCTGACGCTGTTAACCTGCACACGTACATGTGCACTGAGGACGATGTCTAAGAGAGGGGCAGATAGGTAATTTGAGGGTGGGATCCTAAAACAATTAATTGAAAAAATGGTATGAGAAATCGTCCCTTCTCCACCAACCCCTCTTTTCCTCATGCCCCTGCCCTACCCTTCACCTCACTTACCCGTCGCTTTCCTTACTCAGACACTGAAACCCCATCCACGTGCCACCATCTCAACCCTCCCTTCCCATGATCATCCGACGCTCCCCTCGCTTTCTCAACTAACCCATCGGCTTACCCACCTACACTCAATGTCACCAACCAATCTATATATACCTCCCAATTCCACGCTCTCTTTTCTCAGGAAAATTTTCTTTTCCGACTCCCCAAACAAGATCGTTTTCCATTTTACCCCTTTCATCCCTCACAATCCCACATTTCTGCTTTTCTTCCTTTCCATTTTCCTCATCATTATTATTCTATCTTCCATCTATCCATCCACCTAGCATATAGCTTCGCGACACACCATTCCCATACTCACTCACCAGATCTTAATTCATTTCCCACCTCCTTTTCCAAGATGGAAAATTGTATCAATGGCATTGCCAATGGCTCCTTCAAACTTTGCAATGGCTCCATTTCCACTGACCCGCTTAACTGGGCCATGGCTGCTGATGCTCTCAAGGGCAGCCACCTCGATGAGGTGAAGCGCATGGTGGAGGACTATCGTAACCCGCTCGTCACGTTACGTGGCAAGACCCTCACTGTCTCTCAGGTGGCCGCGGTCGCCACGCACAACACCGCCGTCACGGTGGAGCTCGCCAAGGAGACCCGCCACAGTGTCAAGGCCAGCAGTGATTGGGTGATTGATAGCATGAACAAAGGCACTGATAGCTATGGAGTCACCACGGGGTTTGGTGCAACCTCTCACAGGAGAACCAAGCAAGGGGGTGCCCTTCAAAACGAACTCATCAGGTAATTAATTCATTCTTTTGCTAAACGCTTTGATTTATTAATATTGCTATTAAATAACTATCATTGCTACGCGTTATTGTTACATCTGTAGCTTGTGCTAGTTTTTATTACATTAATTGCTGGTTTTGCGGATTTTATTTTCAGTTTTTAAACAAAGATAAATGTTCAAAAATATCATATGCACCATATTAAATATTTTTATTTTAATAATAAACGTTAATTACTGTCTTTAGCATGCGACTAGTTAAGGAACTTAAATAAATTTATTATATATTTTAAAAATATTTCTTATTATTCTTTAATTAATGTTTTAATAACAGGGGTTATTAATACCATTAACTGAAGTTTTTTATGCTTGGGGGTAGGTGGGTTACCAGTGATCTGCTAGATGTAATTAGGTAAAAAGGTTGTGTCATGATTTGTAACTTTTTGGCCTTTTTGTTTGGTTTTGTAGATTTGACACAGGTGTGTCATCTTTCCTACAACTTTAGTCGTTTCATTCACTCATTATTAGCTAACATGATAAAAAAAAAATGGTTGTGGTAAGACTGCGATGTAATAATCGCATATGTAATCGAAGTAAAAAATTATGGGCAAGTTTGTTTGGCAAGGACAAGAGTATATAAAAAGAAGAAGATGAAAAACAGTTTAAAATGTGTATTTGTTTAAAATAATAAAAGATATATAATATGTTGTAAAAATATTTTTGAATTTTTATTTAGAATAAGCATTTTTTTTCCTTTCATCAACTATTGTCTGTTTTTTTAATCACGTGGAACACTGGAATGTGGATTAGCACAGTTATGCCACCGAGGTTGAAACAATTTACATGATTTGCCTTAAAGATATTCATTTTGCAAAAAATATAAATACTGTTTTGTACTATTAAAAAGATTAATAAAGAACACTAAAAATTGTAATTAATTCTTTTAAAACATTAATTAACAAGAGTTGTTGACTTTTAAAATATTTAACAAGATTGTTAAAATACTACCTTTGGATTTTTTCAATAAAAATAATTATGTAATTTTTATTTTAATTATATGAAATAAAAATTTGTTTTTAGATATCAGTTAACATTGGTACTACTGTAATTATATCTCTTATTTAATAATTTTTCTTCACTTATTAAATAGTAATTTTGTGAAAAGGCAACAAAAATAAAATTAAATAGCTATTAAAGGAAAACATTTTAGGGAAAGATATAGAGAAATTATAATTTATTTTAAAAAATATTTTTTTTGCATAATTTTGAAAAAAGAAAATAAAAGTGAGTACCTAAGATTTTATAGGCTTAGAATTAGAACAATTAGTGTTTTTGACAATTTTTTCTTATTTTATAATGTGAATGAAGAAACAAGAGAATTGCAAAGTTCTGAAGCATTAAAAAAACATTTTGTTTTGGGATAAGAATAGGACAATACTTTGTCCAAAAGTTAAGCCATGAAATCGATGTTAGGTAGGTGTTTATTGACGGAACAATCTCCTGCAAATTTAATTACTCAGTCAAACAAATAATAATATTTCTTTAATTTAATTAATATGGTTGGTTTTTATTGATAAGGTGAGTTTTGTTATTTTTAACTAATATATTTTATTAATAGTTATAAAAATATTATTTTGTTTTGTTTCTTACTATCAATAATTTGTATAGGAAGTAATGAAAGTAAGATTTTATTGATTTCTAGAGTTTTTTAAAAGATAAAATGATAATTTTGTAATAATTAATAAACATATATCAATTTGAAGATTAAAAAAACGTACCAGTTATATATCCAAGAGAGACTTGTGAGATTGAACCCTTGCAAGTTGCAATTCTCTTGTTTCTTCTTTCTCAGTACAAGTGTGTGGTCCACCCCATTACTGTGTGTTCTTTGGATATTTTTATACATTACTGCCAATTGACAGAAAGGAAATTTTTTCCTTTAAAGTGTATGAAGTATAAAGATGATGGTTACAGTAACATATATCTCAAACAAACATATTCTTTCAAGAAGCAATGCAAGAAAAAAAGACAAACTGGTCTGCATTAGGAGGACACTTGTTTAATAATTCTGTAAATAAACAAAATTTCCTAGTCAGAGAACAAAGAGATGACTCGTCATTTCTGAATTTTGCTTTTGTTGCTTTGTCTTTGAGTTTATATCATCCCATTATATGTTTATTTCAATATCCTATTCCTGTACCCCTCTTATACGTATGCTCGTGGCCAATAATAAAAGTAATAATAATAAAAGAAATCGAAAAGATTTGTATAACAGTGTTAGATTGGATGTTTAAAAGTTTACGATGTGACACGTAAATCAAAAGATAAGGCTATGAATTTTGTAGTTACAAAATGTTTAGTCATGAGTGCGCCGAAAATTCCACGTTGGACTTGATCCAGTGGCAGATTATTAATTAGTAACCGATAATGCGGTTGTTCCGTTAGCGCCCTTTATGTCACAACTTTATTTAATGTTTTATTGCTGTCAAAAATTGAAAGGAAGGTTTAACGAATTAATGCATGCTTAAATTATTTTTTCAGTAGCAATTTAATAGATTTTATTTTTATAAAGATTAGACAAAATATACTGATTTGTTTCCAAAAAGATGATATGGATAACTTGCTGATATTTATGCACAATTTTTTATATGTTCCTTTCAAACCTATTTATTATATAGGAGAAAAGAAAAGCAAATGACGAATTTATTTTTCTTTCTTTCATTTTTTTTTTTTATAAGAGGAAGGTATAAAATGAAAAGTGTAGAAAATCAAGAAAAATTCAATATTGAGTGGTTAAATTAAATGGGTATGATGAAAATACACCTGCTCGTTTTACTACCCGGGTTGGTAGCTTGTTGAACATAATATGGTTATTAATTTATTGAACAAAATTGTTTGACCTTGTACTAGTCACTTGAAAGATCAACCTTCCTATTTATGTAGCATAGTCACATGTTTCCTAGTTGTTTAGAATTTTACTGTTTGTCATATAAGATTCCTGCCATGTTCTTAATTCAGTTGACACTGACACAATTAGATAACTATTTTATTGCAACAGATTTTTAAATGCTGGTATTTTTGGCAATGGCACGGAGTCATGTCTCACCTTACCTCACTCAGCCACTAGAGCAGCTATGCTGGTTAGAACCAACACCTTACTTCAGGGATATTCAGGCATCCGATTTGAAATCATGGAGACCATCACCAAGTTTTTGAATCATAACATAACCCCATGTCTCCCACTGCGTGGCACAATCACTGCATCAGGTGATTTGGTCCCTTTGTCATATGTGGCTGGCCTTTTAATTGGAAGGCCAAACTCCAAGTCTATTGGACCTAATGGCCAAGTTCTCAATGCTAAAGAGGCCTTTCAACTTGCTGGAATTGAGAGTGGTTTCTTTGAGTTGCAACCCAAAGAGGGTTTGGCACTAGTGAATGGCACTGCAGTAGGATCTGGCTTGGCTTCAATGGTTCTTTTTGAGGCAAATTTGCTTGCTGTACTATCTGAAGTGTTGTCTGCAATTTTTGCTGAAGTTATGCAAGGAAAACCAGAATTCACTGACCATTTAACTCATAAATTGAAGCACCATCCTGGCCAAATTGAGGCTGCAGCTATAATGGAACATATTTTGGATGGTAGCTCATATGTTAAGGCTGCACAAAAGTTGCACGAGATTGATCCACTTCAGAAGCCTAAACAAGATAGGTATGCTCTCAGAACATCACCACAATGGCTTGGGCCACAGATTGAAGTTATCAGGCATGCAACAAAGATGATTGAGAGGGAGATTAACTCTGTTAATGACAACCCATTGATTGATGTTTCAAGGAATAAGGCACTTCATGGAGGAAATTTCCAAGGCACCCCAATAGGTGTTTCAATGGATAATACTCGTTTGGCAATTGCTTCAATTGGGAAACTCATGTTTGCTCAATTTTCTGAGCTTGTTAATGACTTTTACAACAATGGGTTGCCATCAAATCTAACAGCTAGTAGAAACCCAAGCTTGGATTATGGCTTCAAAGGGGCAGAAATTGCAATGGCATCCTACTGCTCAGAAATTCAGTACCTTGCCAATCCTGTCACCAATCATGTGCAGAGTGCAGAACAGCATAATCAAGATGTCAATTCTTTAGGCTTGATTTCCTCCAGAAAGACAGCTGAAGCAATAGAGATATTGAAACTCATGTCCTCCACCTTCTTACTTGCATTGTGCCAAGCCATTGATCTCAGACATTTGGAGGAAAACTTGAAGAGCACAGTTAAGAACACTGTAAGTCAAGTGGCCAAGAGAATTCTCACGATGGGTGTGAATGGTGAGTTGCATCCATCCAGGTTCTGTGAGAAGGACTTGCTCAAAGTTGTTGATCGTGAGTATGTGTTTGCTTACATTGATGACCCTTGCAGTGCAACCTACCCTCTAATGCAGAAGTTGAGATTGATCCTAGTTGATCATGCATTGCAAAATGGTGATAAAGAGGCAAATTCAAGTACCTCAATTTTCCAAAAGATAGGAGCTTTTGAGGAAGAGCTCAAGACCCTTTTGCCCAAAGAGGTAGAAAGTGCTAGAATCGAAGTTGAGAATGGAAATCCTGTTGTTCCTAACCGAATTAAGGAATGCAGGTCTTACCCATTATACAAGTTTGTGAGAGAAAGTTTGGGTACAACTTTGTTGACAGGTGAGAAAGTTAAGTCACCTGGTGAGGAATTTGATAAGGTATTCACTGCATTGTGTGAAGGGAAGTTTATTGACCCCATGTTGGAATGTTTAAAGGGGTGGAATGGTGCTCCTCTACCAATATGCTAGGATGGTGTTACATTATCAAAGCTTTTTTTTTTTCCTTTTTTTGTTTAAAGAAAATTTATTTTTCCTTTTCCTGTGATGCATGCTTTTATAAAGCTGCTGGACATGTATTTGAAACTGTGATAGGAAACTTTGTCTCAATTTCATATACCTTCTTTGTCTACAAACAATCAGGGTTTTTTAATTATAAACAAAATAGACATATATGAACAAAGGTTTAAAGTCAGAGCAACACGCAACACATGACAAAGATTGTTTTCTGCTTTTGTGAATCATTAAATCTTGCTTCACCAAACCAAATATTCTTCTCCTCACATCCCTTTTTCTTATTTTTATTTTAAAAACAGAACTTGTGTTTCAGTGTGTTTGGAAAGAGGTTTAAAAGAACTAATAATGTTGAGAGGTCAAAACACAATTATGCAGCACTTTAAACCGTAATTTGGTGTGATTTCGTTGTTGGACTACATGAATGTTTTTTCACATTGCGATTGTGGTTATAAGAGGTAAAATGCCTTCAATTTGGTTTGTGTATTACATGGTCATTGGTCATTGACTTTTTTTAATCAAGAAAACACGAAAATGCTACTCAATGAGAGTCCGGGTTGGTGTGCTTATTGACTCTTAGATGAATATTTTGTTATTATGATAATTTATTTTTTTTACTTTCATTGTGTGACTTTACTTAATATTTATTATAAATATCAAAGAATTATAACATACTAATATTTTTTATACTTAATAAATTGAGTTAATTTTTAAAAAAAATATTATAACAGACAATTTTATTTCACTTAATATCATTGTCAATTTCATTTATTAAGCATGAATAATAATATATGCCAAAACAAAATTTACTATTGCAAAGTACAACATAATTAAAAGAGACTTTTCAACATACTGTCATGCTTATCATCCTCAAAATTATAAAAGAAGTTCACTGATAATTTTATATATATATTTTGGAGAATTTCAAACAAAGCAAAGTGAAATCATGGCATTGTGTGTTTCATTGGTGCAATCAAAACACAAACAAACTCTTAAGTATGAAAATACATTCTATATTAAATATCAAGAACACTAACATCGTGTCTTTGTCATCACAAAATAAAAGTAAAAATAATAACATTAATTGTATAAATAAGTTACTTTAACAACATTAAAACAAAATGCACATTTAAGCACGAAAAGAACAGAAAAATCAAAGCAATTCTTGTAAGGATCTCAATCCAATTTCCTCTCATGTTTTAAGATCTCTTCTATTCACAAAATATTTACTCCAACCATCAATGAAAACATGACTTTTTGAAGAAGCCCAAAACTTGAGAAAAAGGGAGTGCATGCATGGATTGGGTGTCCACGTCCCAAATCACAACTTCAGTTCCTTTTTCAGTCTCAGCCTCTCTTTGAGCTTCATGACCCAAAACAGGTACCACCAAGTCTTCTACCAACTCTTTAGGTGGCAAAAGTCTACTCAAGTATCCATGATCACTCTGTGAGTTTTTTCTTGATCCTCCATGGGTCATCATAAAGCATCAAATCTAATGAATAGCCCCAATAATGTCTCTGTTCTGTTTTCCTCTTTTTGGCCTTTTCCTTCCATTAACGGATTCTTTAGTGCAAGATTTTGTCTAAGCCAAAGAATCTAAAGGGCAAGTTTGGCCCTTGCTACATGGGCACACACCTAGCGTCAAGTTAGTACAAATTTGATTAAAGACAGGAGTCTTAGAAATACTACCCATAATAAGAAACTAGAAACCCATGTGAATGGATAGTACAAGAGGAAAAAAAGAAAAGAAAAGAAGTGTACTTATAGAAAAGACATGTGATACTTCACTCCTTATAAATCTCCAACATTTTCTTCAATATAATTTAGGAAACTAGTTATTAATGAATTAATTAGTATCTCACACTTGATTTGACCAGTTTATGTTTTTTTGTCTACTGAGTAGTAGCTCTTAATGGTTAAGAAATTGAGTATCTAGATCATATCTACTAATATCTTTGAAATAATTAATGTCTCCTTTGATATATTTAACGGATTAAAATATATATTTGAATGAATATATTTTTTAAAATTTATTGTGGGTTAGTTTCTTAGAATAAGTATTAGTTTCTTTATTCTTGAAATAAATATTTCTTCATTATTTGAGGGAATCATTCTCCATTGATTTTTAATCTTTGTTCTGTTTATTAATTTTCACAAATAAATTTGAAATTTTTGTTTTCTCTCTTAGTTTGAGTCTTTGAGATAAGGAGATTTCCCAATGTATCAGAGAATTTAGTGGCACTGTCGATGCCACTACTACTTATCCTTGCCGATTTCTTACTATTTAGCTGTCTTCTATTTATTGTGTAATTTTATTGCACCTAATTTTATTATAATTTATATTCTTTAGTTTTTATAAAATATATTTTAATAGTCTTTTTATAAGACATTTTATAATTTTTATGAACCATTTATTATATTATTTTTGTCCTTAATAAATAAGGTTAGTGGTAATTCAAATTAAAATAAAAAAAGAAATTTTAATAATGAAGTTAGATTAAATTATGTAAAGATAAAACTGTTATGTCATAATATTTTTTTAAAAAAATAGAAAAATAACCAATTTTATCTACTTTTATTAGTTTATATAACTTATTTAAATATATATATATATATATATATATATTATAATTATAAAAAAATTAAACAAGAAGTTGAAAAACTTTACTGAAAATTTTTAGAAATAATTTATGATTTTTATAAATTTTTAAACTTATTTTAATAGATTTTATAATATAATTAATAAAATAAAATTGTTATAAATTATAAAAATAAATTTTATATTAAAAAAATTAAATAATAATTTAAAAAGATGTGCACTCAAAAGCGCATCTTAAATAGATTTCGAGAAAAATCATTACCTTATGTCATGATGTTAATTTTTAATTGAAAATATGAAATAATTTAACAGAAAAAAAACATATATATGTATTTTTAGTATGAAAAACAAATCACATCATATTTATTCAACTGAATTAGATTATAATTTGACAAATGTTGAGAGGATTTACAGATATTATTTTATACTTATGAAAAAGCTTATATATATTTAGGCTTCTTAAAATATGATATCTTTTTAAAATAAATACCGTATATTCTGCTGTTAATTAAATTAACAAGTTATCCACATACTACATAAGTATTTTTAAATTTAAATAAAATTTATTAATAAAATAGATTAAAAGACTAGTATAAATTTTAATTATTAATGATAAATATTTTATTATACCATATAAAAAACAAAAAAGATAAGATATTTAAAATAGAAGAGAAATTTATTAAAATAAAAATACATTTCTTTATGATATAATATGTCAAAATTATAAATTAAAATTCACTGAGATTACAATACTCTTAAATTTTATTTTTCTATAAAAGAAGTGTATCTTTAATTTTTATTAATTTAATCATTAAGTTCTCAATAAGTAAATTAAACCAACAATTTATTATAAAGCTTAAAAAACATTTACTACTTCATCAAATAACTTTCTTTTAACATACATTACACACACAAAAAAGACTTTTAATGTCAACCAAAAAATCATAAGCGAATGACCATCATTAAGTTAACCTAAAAAAAGTATACCAACAAACACTCGTTTCTGCTGTCTATTATAATTCGTTATAATCATGATTTTGACACTATCACTATAAGTTTCAGTGACGAAATTAAAAATTATTAGTAAAATACTTGTGTTTAGACCTATAATTTATCTTTTCCCCAATATAGGTTTCATTTTTAGTAACTTATACTCACAATTTATCTTTCATCAATATAACACTATAAAAAAAATAGTGGTGATTATTTATAATGGAGACATTTAACCATCGTTATTTTATAGAAAAAAAAATTGTGAAACATTGTGACGGCCTAAGTTACTCTAAAAGGTCACAGAGCAGTCAAGAAAAAGGATAAAAATATCAAATTTGATCACAATCCAAGGAATAAATATAATTAAACTTAAGTGAAAATTAAAAATGATTAATCAACAAATTTATTTGTGACTTTTAGAATGCAATAATAAACTTTAAATCATTGTATAGTAAGGATCAAGTCATTTATTATACGAAGTATCCATCAAATCCAATTTCAAGTATCATGCTTAATGTACAGCACTAAGCACAAGGTCGTACGTAAGCTTAAAAAGAACAAAGCACAAGTGAATTTTGGTACTAGATTTGATCATTAGTTGCAAATAAATTTCTTTATACACAATTGTCTGAAAACGTCTATTTTCCACTAATCCCTTTCTTTCTTGAGCCGCTGCCCTACCCTTCACCTAACTTACGTTTTGCTTTAACATTGACCAGTAAATAAGAACAATTATCTTCATACTTAATTATACAATATTTATATTTTACTTTCACCTTTGTTATTTTTTTTTATTATACAATAACTCTCTTTTTTTTTTAATCTTTCTTTCTTGCACGTTCTCACTAAACATAGATTGTGCAACCACAACTTTTCAGTGAACAAAATCCCCCGTTCAATAACTTTGATGATAGTATTTGAATGTACTAAAGATAAAGAAAAATGAAAAAAAAATACATATAAAAAGGTTAAATATAAAAATTAATTTATTATCATTTATTTATTTTTATCTAGAACACATGTGGAGACAATCTTATTCTAATTGAATAGAATTATTATTATATATAATAGAATTTTTTAATAATATTTAAAACAACTATAAAATTTAAATTTATAAATTAAGTTAAAACAACTCTTTACAGTTGATTGCTTACTTTATTAAATGATAATAATAATAATAATAATAATTACTGTCAAACATGTGAATACTGGCTTGTTCCAACTTTACAGTGCAATAACTTGGACCAAGTAATGCAGCTTCTACCTCCACCTACATCCCACGTGTTAGAAAGGCTACTCACACATGCACGTGCCACAGCCACCATTGGCTTACCCACCTACTCTCAGTGTCATCACCATACTATAAATTAAAATTTTGTTCCTCTAATCCAAACCAAAACTCAACTATAGAAAATATTAGGCTTTAACATTAATTGTTGTGCAATCATAAACTACAATCTTATATTTGTCCCTCTCTTCACCTTTCCATTTTGATGATCATTATAACTGCCATTTACGCAGCAATATAACAT